GTGTGTGTGTGTGTGTGTGTGTGTGTGTGTGTGTGTGATGGATCGTTGGAGCTATGTGCAACTCAAGGCATATGCTCGAACGGGAGCTGCCTGGACGCTGCAATCATGTTGCGCACTATCCGTGCTGAGTGTGCTGACTTCTCGTACAATGTCCCACTGTCTGGCTTCCTGCATAAAGTCAAGTGCTCGGCGCAGTTGTGGCGAAATGTCGCTCCTCTGTTTTCATTTAAACAGCTCCATATCCGTTAGCGCAGCTAGCTAGCACCAGATGCTAACAACAACAATGCACGTAAGGTCTGTCTCTCGCTCGGGCCACACATACACACACCCTCCCGGTCCTCCCAACAGCCAGTCGGTGCCTGCCGGTGAGCGTGGAAGTGTGGTCTGCCACAAGCGGGCGGCAGGAGCGGGGCTGTCAGCATCAGCTTGTAGATGGTATTTTAAACTCCATGCGCTCTGAAACTACGGGGCGGCCGAGGAAAAAAAATACATGCGTTAATCGCGTTCAAATAATTAGTGGCGTTAATTTTTTTTTGCATTAACGCGTTATTAACGCGTTAACTTGACAGCCCTAGTTCTTTTACATTCAAAACAAGTTACAATTTTCAAAAGGTCTTATGTTTTTTTCGGGGGGAGGCCCTTTTTCCAGTTTAGAGCAATAGCCCCTCCAAAGTCTGTGCACGTCACTGGTGTCGACTCATCTATGTGAAAGTGTGTGTGCTTGACGGCAGAAGACAAACACAACCCAAGACATGTAAAATGTTCTCTTCACTACTAGTGTTTGACAGGTTAAGTAACGAGTGACTTACATTTGACTTAAACATATGTATAACTTGTGAAAGGTTATATTTGTCACGATATTCATGTTATGTCATGTTTTTATGTCTAGGTTTGGGTGTGTTGCTGTTCTCCCTGTCATGTTTTCCTCCTTGTATATTGTCTGGTCCTTTTCCCTGTGTTTTTCCTCCTGTCGTTAGTCTCCCTGGTGTGTCTAATTGTCTGATTGTGTTCACCTGTTGCCCTTGTGTTTCTCCTCCCCTGCCCGGCTGTTTCTCATCTTGTGATTACCCCTCCCTGTATTTAGTCTCTTCCTGTGTTCAGTGTTGGTTCATTGTTTGTCTTTCCCTTCATGTCACGCTCCATGTTTGTCCTTGAAGTTTGGTCCTGGATTATTTACTCGTGCTCCCCTGTTTTTTGGTAATGCTAACTTTGTCTCGTTTTCTTTTGTCATCGGCTTTTGTAAATTAAAGCTCGCTTTTTGTTAATACTGCTTTTGGGTCCTACCTTTTCCACGCACCCTGACAATATTGAAGTCTATGAGACTCTCACTTGATCCCAACTAGAGTGTAACTTATGAAATACGGTCCATTGGGAGGTTGTGTAGAAGTCGAAGTGAAAATGTCTCACTTGATCCCAATTAGAGTTTGAAGACGTGAGTAAAATATTATTAATTTGTATTCTCGTGGCACCTTTAAACAAACTGGTAGCCCTTGGTTTGTGTAGAAATGATCTCTTAATTCCACTTATAGTTTGGTATCCCCGCCGTCTTCTTGTTTATTTGGAAACAGAAGAAGTGACCATATTTGGATGAGAATCCGTCATTTAGACATCTGAGATCCAGAGTACCAGTATTTCTAAACTTGTCATTTACTTTTGCTTCATCAACGTCATGAGGAAGATGATGATGGTGATGATGAGAAGAAGGTAGTAGATGATGATAGTGGTAATGATGATGATGATGATAATGATGGCAGCATAAAAAGGGTTTTCTCTTTATAATCCGCTAATCTGGTGCATGCTGAGAGGTCACCAGCACTGAATTACACTGAGGAGGATACACATATTACAACATTTTAAACATCCTCCTAGCTAATCAGCTTAAACTACAGCGCACTGTACAATAATAATAATAATAATAATAATAGTGTGTGTGTGTATTTGTGATTAAGGTAGAGGCTCAGAGTATGACGGGCAAATGATGTTACGGTAAAGACTAACTCTTGATATTTTCTCCACCCCTCTGGCTTCAGCAAAATTTCATATTTCATCTTCTACATTTTTCACACACACACACACACACACACACACACACACACACACACACACACACACACACACACACACACACACACACACACACACACACACACACACACACACACACACACACCATGTATATATCACTTCAGGGGACATTACATTGACTTACATGCTTTTCCTGGAGACTTATCCTAACCTAAACCATAACCAACACATGCCTAACCCTAACCCTTACCCTAACCCTAAACCTAACCAAGTCTTCACCCTAAAATTAATGATTCCCCTTATGGGGACCTCCAATTTGTCCCCATAAGGGAGGCGAGTCCCCACACGTGACTGTGTAAACAGATTTAGGTCCCCACAAGGATAGTAATGCTAGGCCACACACACACATCTCTTTTGCCTGTGTGAGTGCAGTGATTTGTATTAATAAGTAGTGCCACACACCTTTCTGAGCACTGACACTCACAGATGTGACGAAATCTTCTGACTGATGCTGTGTGTGCACACAAACACACACCAATTTAACACATGACATAATATTAGGTTTTACAAATGATTCCTTTTCTCTCAAATGACCATAAAGTGTGTGTGTGTGTGTGTGTGTGTGTGTGTGTGTGTGTGTGTGTGTGTGTGTGTGTGTGTGTGTGTGTGTGTGTGTGTGTGTGTGTGTGTGTGTGTGTGTGTGTGTGTGTGTGTGTGTGTGTGTGTGTGTGTGTGTGTGTGTGTCCTCTGGGCTGGATCAATGGACTTCATTACTGCTAATAGCCGCGGCTTCACTCTGTCTACTAGTTTGTTCCATTGTTCATTAGCCTCACTTCATTTAACAGCTGTCTCACCCAAACTCACCCGCCTGGAGGTAAAAGAGAGAGAGGCTTTTTAACTTGTGACTAACCAGAAATTATGAGATGCTTCTATAGCACTCGTTCCCACCTGAGAGAGTCCCAGTACAACCAGTAATAAACTACAATTACTGCCTCAACAACCACGGTCTAATTTTATCCTTTTGTTTGAAATTGGCGTTACACCGGCAGAGGTAGAGTGGAAACAAGAGGCAAAGTAAAAAGTGTAGACTTGCAAATTAAATAAAGAACCAAGCGCACGTTTATAATACAAATTAGAAATGAAATACATATCTAAAAAGTAGCAGTAGTAAAACAATTATCAAAGGAATGTTAATCAAAGCTACCTGAGACAGTGTTCAGGAGAACAGACGTGACTGACCCACACACATATTGCGAAGTATGAAGACTAAAATGAAGCTTATAAAAAGGTATGCGTTACAAGGTCTGGTGGTTGCATTCAATGTATTACTTATGTATAATAAAGGTTGGGGTTAGGATGGGTAAAACATTGTGTCATATATTTTATATACATCTATTTTTACCGTTATAATAGTTTTTCAATTCGTTTTTTTAAATAATTGTTCTATTTCTTTCAATGTAGAAATTTGAGAAATTCCTTATTGAGGGAACTTTGGGATTTTAGCCTTTGCAGACCATTTACATGCACTTAAACCTATATAACACGTACAGGAAAGTGAAAACCCTAGTCCCTGTGAGGATAGAAAACTACGGCCTCTTTAAGTAAAGGATCTGAGTTCAATCAGGAGAGACGTGATGTATGAAATACGTGTTTATTACCGGGACGCCTGATATGAGGGAATAGTGATTGACGGATTACTACGAGTGAATGAAATTATGTTTGGCGATTAGGCCTCGGTTTGCAGGATGATCATTCAGAAGGGGAAAACCGCTCCTATTAACCCCCCGGGGTCTAGACACTGGTGGTGGTTATAAGTGGTTCGGTCCGGTCTGAAGGGAGAAGTTTTTAGCTTGGCCCTGTATTAGGAGACAGGAGGCGAAGGGGTGGAGGAGGGTTGTGTGTTGACGCCTGAAATGACGACTGACAGAGAAGGAAGAGCAGATTTAAAGGTGTTAGCGGGTGCGATGATTGGCTAGCTGGGGAGTAACGCCCCCGATCACTTATTGGGAGAGGAGAGAGTATTGAAATGACGTGTAACACCAGAGGATTGGTCTTCCTCATTGAACTTGCGCTAAGCTTCATTACTTCTTCCACCACTGGATGCTGCCACATCTAGTTTTCTGTACATGCTGGGTAGTTTAAGGTGCTTACTGTATACAAACTGCACTGAGTGGCTTTCTAAAGGCTTAAAGGGCCCATGTCATGCTTTTCTGGTTATCACCCGTCCCCTTGTTGTTATGAAGGTTTTTCTGCATGTAAACGGTCTGCAGAGTCACAAAGCCTCAAAGTACACCCTGTAGCGAGTAAAACTCTAACACAGAACAGACCTGTCTGTGCTGCCCCAGAACGCCTCGTTGGAGATTTTCTTTTTAAAAATGTTTCTTCCGGGAACCAAGTGACGTAACGACGACCCCTCCGTGGATTGATCAAAATGGACCAATCCGTGGAGCCGTTACGTCCGCGGAGCCGTTACGTTAAGCCCGGATTGGTCCAAATTGACCAATCCGCAGACTTCCTCACACACACTCACACTCAATCTTTTCTCAGCTGCAGCTCCGCCGATTTCTCCTCCCTGAGACGGCGGGATGCGGCGAGGCTGTGAGTCGGTGTGTGAGCACACACACCGACTCACAGCCAGGTGTTCGGGCAGATTTTGCTCTGTCTCGCTGTTTCGAAGACGGGCACTGGGCTCACAGGGAGGGGGGGTGGGGCAGGAGCTCCAACAAGACGTTTAGGACAGAGAGTGAATACACATACTATACAGAGATGCTGTGAGAAACAATGTGAGTTTGGAACATTGCACAATGTAAATCTATTCCAGTAGACCTCAACAATGGAATTATGATCGGTATAAATGGCCATGACATGGGACCTTTAAGTCATCTTATCTAATAAAAAAGGTTGAGGTTACAGACTTCAAAACCTGACTCTCCCCCCCCCCCCCCCCCCCCCTCTGTTTGCTTGTCTCTCTCCAGAACATTACCATCTGAATAACTCACCGTTTGCTCAGGGGCTTCCACACCCGCACAGCAACCACAGCAGCGTGGGACTCAACAAGTACAGCTCCCTCAAAGCAGTGGGTAAGTCTGACACACACACACACACACACACACACACACACACACACACACACACACACACACACACACACACACACACACACACACACACACACACACACACACACACACACACACACACACACACACACACAGTAAAGTGACACTAACTCTATTCGACACAGTAACCTTTAGAGTAAGTCTCAAGACAAAACAGGTGAGCTGATCTTAAAGAGGAACCCTGCAGTTCCTGTCTGTGGTGAAAGTTAGATAGAAGTGGTGCAAAGATGACGTATCTGTGTAGGCTGATCTGAAAGGTAGCATTGCAAGGGCTCCCTCCACAAAAAAGCCAATGGGAATTATTCATTACATTTGGAGTATTGCATGTATAAGTTCTGTGCGCAACAAAGAGCACCGGATCATTTGAAGAAAGGCGCATTTGCTCACCAACATTGAGAGATTCAAACTGTTAACTCCCCAAACAGGCGAAAACCTACCAGTTTCACCCACTATCTCTGCCACCTCCCTCCATGCCTCGCTCCTCCGGTTTGTATCCCGGTAGGTGAAGAGGGACTGATCATAAAGCACCGGGTGATGACGGCTATGATTAATTTCTCCTCCATTTTTTGGAGTATGAGGAAATGACCTGCGGTGTGTCTCTCCCAGCATACACGCGGTTTGATTGGCTAGCGCTTGTACTGGCAGATTTGCATAAACGGGATTTGATTGGCTGACGCTTCCACCGAAGCTTCAGAAGCTTCAAAAGTTGAACATTTCTCAACTTTTGCAGCGAGCCACGCCAGCAAAGCTCCGCTTCCCACAATGCAGTTCGGCGAAAAGTGACGTCACCCCATTCAAGTGAATGGTGAAGCTTTCAACGCACGCCGCTGTGTGGACGGGCCGTTGTGCCACTGCTAGATGTAAAAAGGTCACTTTTGCATGAATTCAACATAAGCCATACAGCTATTAGTTAATGAAATAACACGTTCCCTATCTTTTAAAGTGGTACTCTTTCGGCAAAGACTTTCACCACGCTAGAGTTTCCCTTTAATCTTTGTTGTGCAGCATTACAGTCGCTGATGGCACAAAATAATAATGATTTGGTGATTGTCTGAAATCCTAATTTACTCGCCACTATTGAGTCAACTATTGGGTGTGAAACCGGATAACGCCCAAGGCTAAAAAGTTGCATTACAATATCACAAACAGACATGAATCTATCTGTTTAGCTTATCCTGTTTTGCACAGATTTCCTGATTTTACACTTTTGCTAACGTTGTTTCTTATCAAGATGTTTTTACACTGCTTTTTTAATGACAGCAGATGTGGTTTTGTGATGTTATTGCAGAGTAGGAAATATGCTGCAAGGTTTGTAACAGGTTATGGTACAGACAGTATCTGAGGTCACACACGCATGTTGTTGTCCTTGACTTTCTGTGGTTGTAATACGAGTAGAGAGCGACATCTAACCCAAGGTATCCCATTAAAAAAATACAATCCTCGACTATGAGCCAAAAGCAACACACTGCCTGTCGAGGTGGATTGTTTTAACCTTTATCATGCATGGAAGGTGAGGTCGACTGAGATTCTGGGTCATTTTCAAGCAACAACACCCTTTACATGTTCTCACTTACAATTCCTCAGATACGACAGCTCTAAGCCTCTAGCGTCAATTTACTCTTGTTACATTGCAGAGGTTAAAAACGACATGTCCCAGATCAAATGTCAGTATCATCATCAGTTAGAGATGTATTTGATAGATATGGGAATATATTATATGTTTAGAAACAGCCTTATGTTACTAATCTGCATTTAAACAACACACCAGTTGTCATTTTGCCTGTTATTAACATGTTTTTTAAGGGGCTATATTGGAGGCTCAGAGCAAGCGCTGCGTTAGTATAAAGAATCAATTCTATTGGCTAGCGCTACAACACATTGTACGTGATAGGCTAAGGGGCGGGACATTGATTGATTGATTGAAAAGTTTATTAACAGCTTGTATATTGGGTACAGTACAGTACAGCTCAAAACATACAATTGTTAAGGGGATGCAGACCAGAGAAAGACTTTCGTCTTGTTTACATCAGGGTCCCCCATTTCCAATTCATCATAAAAACATCTCTAAGTGGTTGACCAATAGAGAGGCAAAGTCCCTCCCTTTCCTCCATGGGACCTTATTTCGGAAAAAGTATGTATTGAAGTCAATGGAGAGAGAAAGATTATCTTTTGATCCCGTTTGAATTGTGCCACGAATTACACATATGATGTTTGTCAATTTAAAAGATCATTTTGCAAGTCAAAAAAATTAAAATGTGTCGTAACACTTTGTTTGTGTGAAACCGCTCAATGAACTACATCTCCCGTCTCGCACCACACACCAAGACGGCCGTCACGTTGAAACATTTCACTTCTTTCTTTCAGAATGAGGCGGAAAGTATTAAAAGAGGTGGAAATCACTCCAAGTCTGGGCACGTTGAGAGCTGTGCATACACACAAGGGGAGTTAGTCGGTTCCGTGAGAGCCAGCATGCGGGACCGGGATTCTGGGATTTGTAGTCTTTCTAGTTGCGTATTTTTCATAGTCTTATATTTCAACAGTTTTACGACAAACTGACTTTTTTGACATGGAAATTATATTTTAAATTGACAAACATCATATGTGTAATTCATGGCACAATTCAAACGGGATCGAAAGATAATCTTTCTCTCCCCATTGACTTCAATACATAATTTTTCAGAAATAAGGTCCCATGGGTCGGAAGTAGATGGGCGGGACTTCTCTCCATCACAACAGAGCCGGCCAGCTAACCAATCAGAGCAGACTGGGCTCTGGTTTCAGACAGAGGGTGAAAAGAGGTGCTGCAGCACAGGCAGTATGAGAAAGAGCTTTTTGAACATTAAAGCATGGAGACATGTCACAGTAGAGACACTAAATATAAATATGAACCTCAAAAATGTGCATATGTCCTCTTTAACAGTGGGGTGCTATTTTTGCACTTTCCCATGAGATCAAAATGCTAATAAAATACCCTTTAACAGACAGAAATGGTAAGAAGCTTAATCAGTCCTCATCATCAATCAGCCTTTCCAAATGGTCTTGACATTCAGATTTTGTAGAACTATCTTTCTCAGTTTGGATTTGTTATGTAACTTTTTTTTTTAAATAAACTCAACTGGGTAAAAAATAGCAGCACTTGGAAAAAGATGAAAACAAACGGCTATAGTTAGTGGACTTTCTACACTGGGACAAAACAGAGACAAGGTTACTGCTCATGTAGACGGGAAGCTAGCGGCGATGACCTCCGCTTTTATTTTTATTTAAATCATTTTCTGTGACATTCATGTTCACACACACACACACACACACACACACACACACACACACACACACACACACACACACACACACACACACTCAGGGCAAGGATATTTATAAACATTCATTGCAAATGTCCCCACATCCTGACACACATACCTTTACCTACATCATCTCTGTTGCACTCTTGAGTTTCTCCCTCCTCTTCCTCCCTTCTGCCATCTCGATCTCCAGCAGCTATAGAGGAAGACCGCCAGTATTTACCTTGAGGGGGGCAGATACACCAATTTGAAATACTTAAATCAGCTTTCCCATTTCATCTTCTTCAAAACCCTCCCCCTCGTCCCGACTATCCCATTTTACTCTGATCTATTATCTTCCACTCGTTTTTTATGGACAACAATGGCAGTTTATGTTTGTGTCTCTGATAGCTCAAACTTGGCACTGATGTTAAAATCCTTTTAAATATTGTTTGACCATAGGCGCTTTCACACCGCAGTACTTTTCCCATAAAGGTTCATCAGAACTTAGTTCATGAGAACTCTTTAGTTCTCATGAACTAAAGAGCAGATCGCGTTCACACCGGAATAAATCCCTGGGGGAGGATTAGGCAAATGAAGCCGCTGACGTCACTTCTTCTTCTGCTTTGGGTTTACTGGCAGGCCGCAAACAACTTCACGGCGTAAACTGCCCCCCGAAGTCCCCTGCCGGAAGTCCCCGGAGTTGGGGACTGGCTGGAGTCCCAGCAGCTTCTACTGAAGCCTTCCGAGTAAATCGCCAGAACGCCGACACCTCTTCATCTCCACCGCTCCCATGTTTTCTTTTGTGTTGCCATAAATTAGTCTCTCTGCGTTTGTGCGCTGGGCTAATGCTAATGCTAATAATGCTAATGCGAGGATAATAAAATGGCGGCTTCACAAAACTTTTTGGGAGTTTTACGGGGCGTGGTTTGCAATCCGCCCAGCCAATCAGACATAGGAACCTTTTTCTCCCACGAAAGTACCTGCTCTCTAGAAAGGATCCGTCTTGTGTAAATATGACGTCACGTTCTCGTTGTGACTCTCGTTGGAGCGGCTCGGAAACACATCTACAGCAGTAACATGATGCAACATACATATTAATGCAGCAGGATAATAGTAAAACACTGAAAGGGAACATTTTATTGCACCAGGAGCTATCTTGGGACTTTTACTGCGACAACGTTGACTTGCCTGTGAATAAAAAATAAACCATAGTGTTGGTGATCTACAGTGTTGTCATTCTTCTTTGAACAGCAAGACCGCTAACACCCATTTCAACAATCACACTCCCTGTCATTGACATAATTAATAGATAGTTTAGCTTGTCACGATCATTTGCTGTGGCCCACTGATGTTAACGATCGTAACTGAAAGGCTGCCTGCCAGACGTAAACATTCAGCCACGTGACTTGCAAACTCTCGCGAGAGTTTTACACTAGACGGATCCTTTCTAGCCATAACCCTCTAGCAGGGACGGAAAAGGGGGTAAAAAGGTTCCCATGAACTAATTTTAGTTCCGGCTCTTTTTGGTGTGAACGCGACATTTCGGAACTATATCGGAACTAAAGTGGGAAAAGTACTGCGGTGTGAACGCGCCTCATGTTTCTAAGTTTAGGGCGTCTTCTTTCCCCTACTAAACCTTCACATACTTCTTCTGTCCGTCTAGCGCTCTAGCCTAATTGTCTCTCAGGATCACAGTTTTAGAGTTGTTGTTTTTTTATTATGATGGAACATTTAGACAATATCCAAATCAACCAGTTTGAAAACAGAAACGATCTCCATGCGCACAGACATTTTAGAATGTTTCATAAATCACATCGGTCCATACTAAGCCGCCTGAAAACGAAGTTTATTCATGAACACCGGGGATCCTATTGCCAGAGTAAACAGGAAGCAGATCACAATAATGTCAATAGACACAGAAACAGTAAGAAATGGCTCAAAAATAGCCAGCCTTCTTCACTAATAGGAAGTATTAGAATGATAGAATGCTGAATTTAACTGGCCAACAGCTGCTAGCATTAACAATAAGGTCGGTAACCATTGAAACTCAAAAGTGATGTTTTTTGTTCGTTCTTATTTAAAAGGGTGAGGTTAAAAAATCAGGGGGGGAAATGGATGTGATTCATCTTTTTCAAAAGTCTCAGTTTTTGCCCCTTAGACTCAAACACAAACCAAGAGTTTTAAAGCATAAATGGAGTTATTGCTTTTCAAAATTCTCATATGTAGGAGTCCAAAAACTTGGAAGTATTGCGGACGCTAGGTGTAAGAGACACAGTCCCGCATCGACTACTGTAACGCCATCCTCTCAGGCATTCCCACCAAACTCATCAATAAACTTCAAATCATACAGAACTCCGCAGCCCGGATCATCACCGGCACCAAGGCCTCAGAACACATCACCCCCATCCTCATCCAACTCCACTGGCTCCCTGTTCAATCCCGTATCAACTTCAAAAACCTACTGCTCACTTACAAAGCTCTATAGTAATGACTCTTACATGTCTAATATGTGTAATGTGTACTTGTAAAGCGCTCTAATAAAAAATGTAATGCATTATTATTATTATTATTACATAACCTGCCCCCCCCCCCCTTATCTGGCTGACCTTCTTCAGGAGTACACCCCCTCTCGCTCCCCCTCTGCTGGTCTGCTAACCGTCCCCACCCCACGCCTCGTCACCATGGGTGCTCGGGCTTTTAGCTGCACTGCTCCCAGACTCTGGAACTCCCTCCCCCCGCACACCCGACAGTCAGACACAATCACCATATTCAAATCCCAATTAAAAACCCACCTGTTCAAATCTGCCTACTCACTGTAGTGCTCCCCATTATATGTTTCATTTGTGTCCACTTGATTGTCTCCTCCATGATTTCCTGTTTGTGTTTTTATCGTGTTCTGTTGCCTATTAGCGGGATTTTTTTAAAACAAATTGTACGGCGTCCTTGGGTGTCATGAAAGGCGCCTAAAATCAAATGTATTATTATTATTAAGAGTCGCAGAAGTTGTGCTTTTAAAACATAAAGTATTATTAAAGATATAACCTTAGAGTGAGAAACATAATGTTAAAGTGACATTTGTAGTTTAATGGTAAATGCTGAAGCGTAGAGTAACAGTTGCACAAGCAGAGAAGGAGTATAAAGTCAGCAAAGTGTCTCGGTAACCAGCAGTAACTCACTAAAGCCAACATTAGCAAATGGTCATACCAGACGAAGTGAGGATGAAGCGGGAAAAAACACAGAACAAATTAAATAAGGCAAGAGTGAGTTTTACTGTTTGTGACTTCAAGTTTCATCTGTAAGACTAAAGTGTAATTTCTACTTTTCTAATAAGTTGCATGGTCTACTTTTAAAGTTTCCAAGACGACATTACTGACAGGTTGTAGCCGTGAGGTCCAAACAGATAAATGCATCACGGATTAAAGTGTGATTAAGGCGTCAGTGTTCATATCAGGCGACTTCTGCATGTGACTCAGAAGTGCATCAGACTGTGACAAATGGAAAATGACTCTAAACGTATAAACAACTTTAAGCAGGCTAAACATAGCAAGTGTTGGCTACTGGCCTTATTGTGAAACCATATAAACGGATAAATGAAAGGATTATTCCTGATTTATTCAACTTGTTTGTGTTGTTGGCGTTCTTTTCCATCAGTTATAAAAGCAGCATTATCATCACATTTGCTGAGATTTGGGAACATTTTTATAATGAATTGTGAAGAAAGGAGTGGATAATCTACACTACACCTTCACTTATGTATGTTTAATTAACCCTAACCCTAAATTGGGTTTCCTCTGATTGGTTACTTGGCCAGCTTTGTTGTGATTGGTCAACCGCTTAGAGATGTCCCGCCCCTTAGCCTATCACGTACAATGTGTTGGAGCGCTAGCCAATAGAAGTGCGAGTTAGGGATTTTAGCCTTTTCAAAGCATTTACATGCACACAAAAACCTAAAGAACACACTAAAGGAAAGAGAACCAGAAAGAAGAATAGAGCCCCTTCAAGTAATACTTAAAGTAAGATACAAGTAATATCCAGAACTACAAAAAGAACAATAAACAAAATGCTCTGTAGGCTACTGGTGTTACTTTTCTCACCCATCATGTCCATTCCATATTTTATTCCATTCCATTTCTATGTAAATATTATTATATCTTTGTTAAATTATTTTAAATATTTGTCTAGTTCTCTATCTGTGTTTTACATTTTTGTTTTACTTTTATGTATGCACCATGACATCAAGTCAAATTCCTCGTACGTGTCAACCTACCTGGTAATAAACCTGTTAGGAAAAATATCCCTCGTCCCCGGCTTGAGCTTCAATCTCAGGATCCTTGTATTTCTGATCCTCTCCAGAATGGAAGTAGTCATCACGTACAGAGCATCAACTAGTTCCTGAACAGTGTCCTTCACATGCTGATATCCAAGAGAGGGAGTTACACAGTCACAAGATGGAGGAATAGAAAGCAGTATTCAATGTTTAGTTCAGATTAGCTAAGGCCTGCGTAAGCAATAAACATGACAGTCATATGCCTATCTCCATAGGGGCTGAATCATCATGTTAATCGTAGGAACATAGCTATCGTATGTTCAACACAGTGTCTCATGAGCTCCTTCTATCGTACATCCGGTTACGTACACAGTTACCGTTAGGCACTTGTTATCATGTGCTACTCTGATATAGAAAAGAGTAGGCCTACATTCAGTATTTTCCCAACAAAACCTGTTTCTGATTCTGATGTCTTCATTTCAGCTCAAACTGCATCTCGTAGCTACTACAAGAGCTTCCCTCTCATGGACTTCTCTCAGTTCCAGCCGGTGCCAATCCCACCGACAGAGAAGTCTTACATCCACCAAACGGATACCTCGCATCGGGACCTCCACGCCCCGCTCTCCATCTCCATCCCCAGCAGCCACTTGGAGCATTCCCACCTCCCAAAATCAACCACGCTTCCTTTTCTTTCCAGCTCGGCCTTCAAAGCCTGGGAACCCACGCAGTGCCATGTTCAAAGGCAGGCTTCGGCTCGAGGTTACGCCCCATCTAACCACATTTCCTCACGTAGACATGGCTATTCTACGCGAAGGCAGCAGAGCATAGAGAACATGCCGGATCTCTTCAGCCAGCCCTATGGAGGCATGTATGCGGCGGGACAGGCGCATGTTCAACACCAACCTCAACCTCAACCTCAACCTCAACCTCCGTATAACCACCACCACCACCAGAGGCAGAAGAGCTACAGCACCACCGAGGTGACCGTTTAAGTGCCGGACAGCAGCTTGTTGTGATGTTAAAACAGACCAACAAAAAGCTTTGGTGTAAACCAGAGTTTGGGAGAGTTGGCCAGACAGGGGAGGGGTGAAAAACAGCGAGATTCGTTCAGATTTACGTGATGAAAATAGTTGTTTTGATAAGTGTAAACAGGGAGATTTAGGAGTGAAACAAAGAGCAGAACGACGTCTCTTTACAGAATTAGACTCTGAAGGGTCTTGTACATTGATTATATTAAGTGCAGCTTTTAGAGCAGTGAGCAAACTAGATTTTGTCCGATTTGTCCGGATGAAACGTGAGTTTGTGTTAGCCAGGAAGCTCCAGTTGAGTTTAAGTATTCAGTAAGTCATCAGTGCATGGCTCCTGGTCAGTGATTTAAATAAACATCCCTACACAATGACCTTGGCACTGACAACAACTGCAGTCAGAGGCAATGCAATTTAGCGCTTATGTGAAGATATTTAAATGTGGTTTCTGTGGTTTCCCTACAGGCGTTAGACTCAGGAATTATTAATTAAAATGTAAAGAAACAATACTTTATCTTAATTAGACATCTGTAGAAACTGAAACAACATCGATAAAACAAACCCATTTATCATTTTGGTCTTTCTTGCCCAGAGTTAGATAAAAACATCAATATCTGTGCGCCAAATATGAAGCTCCTGTTAGCGGTTAGCTTAGCCTAGCATTGGTTACAACATAAGTACAAGCGCAGTAACTTCCTGGAGTCTTGTCTTTGGATTTGACATAGTCAACAAAAGGTAGAGGGTTATTTGAGGAGATTTCAAGTAGATTTAGTTACTTGTTGAGATTGAAATAGATCAACTGTTCCCCCCTGTTTCTAGTCTTTATGCTAGAGCTAAGCTAACTGGCGTAGCTACATATTTAACGTACAGTAACAATAATGTTCTTGCATTTTCATCTAACCTTCTGCAAGAAAGCTAATAAACATTTTCCAAAACTGCTGGATTGTTCCCCTAATAACTAAGTCAGCACTGCATGTGATAATACAGCCAATAATAACAGCAGAAAGTCCACATAGTTAATCAATGGAATAAATACTCTAATAATAATCTTTCTATCAATTGATTTTTGTCAAAAACATAAAAACTGTTTATCAGGCTTGGTTGAGAAGTCTGAGAGTCATTCAAAATCTCAGTAAATCGAGTTTGAAGTCTGATATGGAGCCAAGAAATCTCTCAAATGTTAGAAAATGTGTTGCTCTTGGTCTATTATGGACATCGTGTGAAATGGGGCAGTACAAATCAACTAATTTCAAGCATAAATTGAGGTGTTATAACATATGTAAGGGTATATAATGGGTTCAGGCAAAGTCTAACTTTGAGGCATTTTAATAGAAAGATTCTCAACAAGACTCTATTTCTCAGTGAAATGTACATCACATCCCATTTAGTTTCAGTATAATCATGAATCATCTCATGGTGACACACTTCAGGTCATTTTCGATCCCTTTAGATGCCTTTCTGTGCATCCTTTGCTACGTTCCCTCTTGTAAAAACACCTCTACTAGTTTGCATCTCTCGCTCTACCTCCATGCACAGCCGACTTCTCCTCGTTTTCTCTCCCGCCACCACCCTCTTTTTTTTCCACGAGGAAGCGCTTTGCATTCACTAGCATCTGGCCGAGCACACAGCTCCCCGGGGGTCACATTAACTCGATGGTGAGGACAATGCCACCATCATGTCAGCTCCCATCAGCCTCCATCCCCAGCAGAGAGAGGCAGAGGGGGACGGTGCGAGAGCCAGAGGCTGGGGGCTCTTTAGAAAAGAGGAGAAAGGAAGGAGAGAAATAGAAAAACAAATGAATATGGCCGCCTGCTTTCTTTCCTCGGGGGATGGGGAAAGGGAAGGAGTCACTGTGGATCTGGGTCTCTCACTACTAACTTGTCTGGGTCATAAATCACAGTGTGTGGATGTGTTTGCGATTTCCAAACCCCAGGCACCAAAACAGGGGAATTCACTGAGGCACTTCCACGCCTGGAGGCTTTGGAAGTTTCTCATCTTGCCTCTGAGAATCGTAGAGCAAAGGACAGTGTGCAGAGCTGCTGTTGTGAACATGCAACAGTTAATGCATTGGACTTGTTGGTAGAAGTTTATGTCTGCAACACCCTCAGGAACCGCACAATGAAGTGAACTGTTAATAATGATTGCATGTGTCCAGAAAAGCTTCCCTAGGATAGTAATGTTTGTGTCGAAAAAGTAGAGGATTTTAGGAAAAAAAGTGCTTTTGTAGAGCCAAGAACACCTGGACAAATCACACAACAAACACGGCAATATTAAGTGACCAAACCCCTCTTTTCCGCAAAACTACACCCATATAAAAATCCTAAAGCACTTGCCATGAAACTGACAATATTTTGTAATACCAATGTCATAAACATATGCAGCAAATTATAGATCTGATATGTCAAACTAAAGTTCTGTTTTTTTTTGAGAGAGAAAACATTAGCCTGAGTCCAATCAGCAGGTTTATTCTTTCTCACATCCATTTATTTTTCAAGTTAGGTTGATATATTTCCAGATGCAAGACGTTGTATTTGGTAAGTTTGGCTGGCGTTTCCTGTAAAGTTTCCCCCATGATGACTTATTATGAGCACCTTGCTGCTGAGGGACATCATTTCACTCATATGCTAACAAACAAACCATCACAGTCTTCGGTCCTTACATTTAAAAACCATCATATTTAACGATTCCTAGAAAATGTAGCATTGATGTTTTGGTCCCAAAAAAACAACACAGAAATCATGATTTCTCCTTTTTCCATTCACCCATAATTTGACACAAAAATATTTTTTTCAAATACTGAAGTAAAAGATTCTGGGAAGCCCAGCATTTCGTGTTAGAGTCACGAAATTAATTTAATCTATTGATTCGTGTTCACCAACACGATTTTCCCATTTCTTTCGTGTCACACAGAACGATTTTAAAAGCAATGTATTTCTATTGGTAAGATGTTTCGTGCCTGCACCACGTCTTTTTGTCCGGTCGGGTCTTGGAAGACCGGAAGCTGTGTGGTTCATAAAAACATTTTCTTACTCAATATCTTACCCTAAGCCTTTTATTTTAAATTGTATAATGTTGGAGTTTTTTTGCCATCCGCAAGGAAAATAAATGGCTCAGAGCCTCAGAATACTGAAATCTGTATTTTTGTAATCCTTCTAATTTGTTATTATTTGGTGCATAAACGAAACATACTAGAAATACATTGCTTCTAAAATCGTTCTGTGTCATGATACTGAAATCTGTATTTTTTTAAATATATTTTTCCTTCTAATTTGTTATTATTTACATTGCTTTTAAAATCGTTCTGTGTGTCACCAAAAAAATGGGAAAAACGTGTTGGTGAACACGAATCAATAGATTAATTTCGTGACTATAACACGAAATGCCATGAGACTGTGTTGAATGATTTGTACTTAATGCTGTGAGTTAAAGATCTGCTGATTTATAGACACAAAACCTGTCTTTACGAGCAATCGAAGTTCGCTGTGAACAATGTCTGTCTTGTTATGAAATCATGCATTTTCCCCTCAGATAACAACGGTTCCGATCTTTTATTTTTGTCTATTTATGAAAAATGTCTCACAATATGAGTCAGTCTTTTAAAATACAGTATTTTTTAGGTTTTATGTAGCACAAACAAATATTGTCTTCTTGCTTTACTTATGAATATTGTGTAAATATGTGTATGTAACGGAATTTCCTATATTTTGTTTGATATAAGGGCTGTATGAACCAAGTCATTTTAAGAGTATTTATTATTACTATGAGATTTTAACAGAATTATTGCAGAAGGTTTTTACATGAAGTGGCAAAACAGTGACAGATATGAAGTGCAGAGTAGGAAAAACCAACTGTAAAGCAGACAGGTTGTCTAAAGCATTGATCATGTTCCTATTGTACAACTATACAAAACAGACCGATATACGGGACGCTCTGCAGAAACATGTAGCTGTACAGAATACTGGGCTTACACTGTTAATGCAATAGAAGTGTTTCTTTGCACCAAGTGAAAAGGAGGGAGTTTATTCCACTTTGAACCTCTGCAGGTCATCGTCTTGGAGTAACTGTTTTACGAAGGAATATATGAGATAAAAGCATGGGTGGATTACTGAACTGGACTACTGGGAACAGGCTACAGAAGCCCAAAATGCAAGAGGAAGATTGTAGGACACATACCAACATGAAAGACACTCGTAATGACTACAGAGACTAAAAGGTATTTGAAATTGAAGCAAGAAAGCTGCAAAAAGACAAAAAAACAACAATAAGATGCAAAGATAGTGACTTCAACTATCGAACGGAGCAGAATAACCACACAAAGACTGCCAAGAGATGCAAAACAGCTACAGAGCAACGCACATGGACGACTGAGAGAGTGAAGAGACATGACAACAAAGAGACACGAAGCCAGGGCCGGCCCTTGGCATAGGCGGTATAGGTGAATGCTAAGGACGCATCAACCCATCGGGGGCGCCGAAAATTGGGGAGGAAAAAAAAAAAAAGTTAGAAATTTAAATGTTTTTATTTCACAACACTATTTCTCGATTTTGGATCAACAAAGTATATCTTATTATCTTATACTAACAGAACTACGCCTATATTGCGTACAGCACCCCCCCCCCCCAAATCAAGTTGAACTGCCGCAGTAAAAACCAGAGGTTTATGTGAAATAGTTCTTTTTTTGAAATAATGGTTTTAGTGTGCAATTATAGGTTTTAATTGTAATCTGTTTACAGTTCTGTTTCATCTGGGTGTTGAGAGATGTATCCATAGATCTCTTAATGTTGCTCTCAAAGGGCACCAGATTGATGCTTTTAACTTCAATATTTTAAAAAAAATGCCTCCGGACCCCCCTCGAGGATGTTAGGTCCACCCCCCACTTAAATCATGTTCAAATGGATAGGATACTAAATACATTTGCACACATCTTGTGTCCATATTTTTCAGTTTTGGTGGTCATACCACAAGGGGGTGGGGGGGGGGCGGGGGGGGGGGGGGGGCACCAGCTAAAATCTTGCCTAGGACAGCAAATTGGTCAGGGCCGGCCCTGCACGAAGCAACCACAAATAGAAAGAAAACTACTACAAAGAGACCGCAAATTGACCACAATGAGATAACAAAACAGCTGTGAAGAGAAAACAAAGAGATGTGTGACTAGAAAGAGAAAAAATGACCACAAAACTATTTAGAAAATGCTAAATGACCATAAAAATAGCTACTAAAAGACACAAAATGATCACGAAGAGACCCCTAATGTCTAGAAAGAGACACAAAAACGACAACAAGAGGCTAAGACAACTATACATTTTGCGTGTCTTGCTCCCGTGTTGAGGGGCCCAATTTCTCATAATCCACAGGGAGAACAGAGCTGATCAATATACGATAGCAGAGTAAATCCAAAGTGTATTGGTGTGATATACAGAATGTAGCATAAATATGTATATACCTATACAGATAATTTACACCCAAGATGTTCTAGAGATGTTGTTTGCAGAGGATTGTTGATGCCACTTTTGAAGATAAGAAATATTAAAGATTGTTGAATAAAAAAAAGGCTTTGGTTTGTGTTTGAATGAAAGAACTGTTGGACCTTTGATTATTTCTGGGGCAAAACCTGCAGTAAAAAGATATGTAACACTCACGCTTCTATTGGCTGGCGCTCCAACAAATTGCACGTGATAGGCTAAGGGGCGGGACATCTCTAAGCGGTTGACCAAGAGCCGGCCAGCTAACCAATCAGAGCAGACTGGGCTCTGGTTTCAGACAGAGGGTGAAAAGAGGTGCTGCAGCACAGGCAGTATGAGAAAAATAAAGAGCTTTTTGAACATTAAAGCATGGAGACATGTAGAGACACTACATACTGATATACACCTGAACATCAGCAGGAGAGGACTCTTTAAAGTAGAGACACTACATACTGATATACACCTGAACATCAGCAGGAGAGGACTCTTTAAAGTAGAGACACTACATACTGATATACACCTGAACATCAGCAGGAGAGGACTCTTTAAAGTAGAGACACTACATACTGATATACACCTGAACATCAGCAGGAGAGGACTCTTTAAAGTAGAGACACTACATACTGATATACACCTGAACATCAGCAGGAGAGGACTCTTTAAAGTAGAGACACTACATACTGATATACACCTGAACATCAGCAGGAGAGGACTTTTTAAAGTAGAGACACTACATACTGATATACACCTGAACATCAGCAAGAGAGGACTCTTTAAAGTAGAGACACTACATACTGATATACACCTGAACATCAGCAGGAGAGGACTCTTTAAAGTAGAGACACTACATACTGATATACACCTGAACATCAGCAGGAGAGGACTCTTTAAAGTAGAGACACTACATACTGATATACACCTGATCATCAGCAGGAGAGGACTCTTTAAAGTAGAGACACTACATACTGATATACACCTGAACATCAGCAGGAGAGGACTCTTTAAAGTAGAGACACTACATACTGATATACACCTGAACATCAGCAGGAGAGGACTCTTTAAAGTAGAGACACTACATACTGATATACACCTGAACATCAGCAGGAGAGGACTCTTTAAAGTAGAGACACTACATACTGATATACACCTGAACATCAGCAGGAGAGCACTCTTTAAAGTAGAGACACCACATACTGATATACACCTGAACATCAGCAGGAGAGGACTCTTTAAAGTAGAGACACTACATACTGATATACACCTGAACATCAGCAGGAGAGGACTCTTTAAAGTAGAGACACTACATACTGATATACACCTGAACATCAGCAGGAGAGGACTCTTTAAAGTAGAGACACTACATACTGATATACACCTGAACATCAGCAGGAGAGGACTCTTTAAAGTAGAGACACTACATACTGATATACACCTGAACATCAGCAGGAGAGGACTCTTTAAAGTAGAGACACTACATACTGATATACACCTGAACATCAGCAGGAGAGGACTCTTTAAAGTAGAGACACTACATACTGATATACACCTGAACATCAGCAGGAGAGGACTTTTTAAAGTAGAGACACTACATACTGATATACACCTGAACATCAGCAGGAGAGGACTCTTTAAAGTAGAGACACTACATACTGATATACACCTGAACATCAGCAGGAGAGGACTCTTTAAAGTAGAGACACTACATACTGATATACACCTGATCATCAGCAGGAGAGGACTCTTTAAAGTAGAGACACTACATACTGATATACACCTGAACATCAGCAGGAGAGGACTCTTTAAAGTAGAGACACTACATACTGATATACACCTGAACATCAGCAGGAGAGGACTCTTTAAAGTAGAGACACTACATACTGATATACACCTGAACATCAGCAGGAGAGGACTCTTTAAAGTAGAGAGACACTACATACTGATATACACCTAAACATCAGCAGGAGAGGACTCTTTAAAGTAGAGACACTACATACTGATATACACCTGAACATCAGCAGGAGAGGACTCTTTAAAGTAGAGACACTACATACTGATATACACCTAAACATCAGCAGGAGAGGACTCTTTAAAGTAGAGACACTACATACTGATAAGGTTCCTGAACGCCTAGTGAGTGAACAGGTAAAGGTGTTTTTATGTAACAATGACATCCTGTCTAAACATCAGTCAGGCTTCAGAAAGCAACATAGTGAAAGTGCCACAATGAAAGTGGTAAATGATATTACGAGTATTTTAGATAATAAGCAGAGTTGTGCAGCTCTATTTGTTGACCTATCCAAAGCTTTTGATACCGTCGATCATCGCATCTTAAAGCAGAGGCTGGTCAGTATTGGCATGTCCAGCCATGCAGTAGGGTGGTTTGTGAACTACCTCTCTGAAAGATCCCAATGTGTTCAGTTTGATGGGCTGTCTTCTGAGTGGTTAAACATCACTAATGGTGTACCACAAGGTTCAGTTTTAGGTCCGCTATTATTCTCTATCTATATTAATAGTTTAGGTGAAAATGTCGAAGGAGCAACCTTACATTTTTATGCGGACGATACCGTGATGTACTGTGCAGGTCCCTCGATTAACGAGGCTGTTGTTAAATTACAGGCTGTTTTTAACATTATTCAGGCTCAGCTGTCTGAGCTTAAGCTTCTTTTAAATGTGGATAAAACCAAGGTAATGCTCTTTTCTAAAGCTAAAAATACACCAGAGACTGCTTTGGATATTGTAACTACGCAAGAAATACAACTTGAAGTGGTTACCTGTTACAAATACCTGGGTATCTGGCTTGATGACTGTCTCACTTTTAAACTTCATGTAAATAACCTGCTTAAAAAGCTGAGGGTTAGGCTAGGTTTCTTTTACAGAAATAAGTCCTGTTTCTCGCTTGAGGCCAGGAAAAGGCTAGTCACTGTGACCTTTTGACCTGTGCTGGACTATGGTGATTTGTTATATATGAATGCACCTGCCAATTACCTGAGCAAGTTAGATGCTGCGTATCACAGTGCACTTACGCATCACTGTACCCTGTATACCAAGGCGGTTATGCCATCACTTACTGTACGGAGGCTCAGTCACTGGTACTTTTTCATTTACAAAGCCATGTTGGATAAACTACCATCTTATATCTGCTCCCTGATCTCTCTGCGAATTGAAAGTACTTATTGCCTGACATCGCATGCTGTGGTTTTATTAAATGTGCCAAGTGTTAGGACTGTCTTAGGGAAGAAAGCTTTTAGATGTGCAGCTCCACTAACATGGAACAGTCTGCAAAAAGAATGGACAATTACCAAGCTAGTACCACTACATGTTTTTAAAGCTCGGTTGGATGCTACAAAATCAGATGCTGTTGGTACCTGTACTTGTGGTTAAATATGTAAATTGTAATCCCTGTACATTTTGCTGTATGATGTCCTTTTGTTGTTCTGTTGTTTATGTCTTCTTGTGGAACCTACTGCTGCAGGTCTCCCTTGAAAAAGAGATCATTGATCTCAATGGGATTTCACCTGGATAAATAAAGGTTTTGAATTGAATTGAATATACACCTGAACATCAGCAGGAGAGGACTCTTTAAAGATGTATGAGTTGGGGAGTAAAACGTAGCAGCAGACGCTTCAGTGAGCCTGCAGTGACACCTAGTGGCGGTCACGGAAACTACATGCATAATAGAAGTAACATCTTTAATATGTAATCCAATTTGAATGGCATATTGCTTCTTATCCTATAAAAACCATGTTCTTATCAACATAAAACTCTGTTAAAATGTAAAAACAGTCATGAGCCATTCTCCAGATTGAATATTTTTATTACAAATTAAGACTTTTTACAGTATGTATGATAATTATTATTTCAGAGCCTATATGGCATGCAAGTAAAATACATAAAAGCAGATGTAATACTTTGAGGACACGCTTAAGTAATAGTTAAACAGTGCTAACAATAAATATATTCCATATAACAATTCATAATGTCAAGGAAAGTGTCCCGAGTATAGAAAAAATATACTACATAGGCATTTAAAATATTAGTTTTTCTTCAAGGATGGATTAATGGTCCCGCTGTAACACACACACACACACACACACACACACACACACACACACACACACACACACACACCACACACACACACACACACACACACACACACACACACACACACACACACACACACACACACACCACACACACACACACACACACACACACACACACACACACACCACACACACACACACACACACAGCACACACACACACACACACACACACACACACACACACACACACACACACACACACACACACACACACACCACACACACACACACACACACACACACACACACACACACACACACACACACACACACACACACACACACACACACACACACACACACACACACACACACACACACACACACACACACACACACACACACAGAGAGTTGGAAGGAGTACAAGTGATTGGTCCTGTGTTTGAAAATAAAATCAGAAAATGACAATTTAAAGAATGATAACGAGGAGGTGAATTTAGATTTAGAGACATAATTTATCCAAATAAAGAGTGTGAGATTAAAGTGACACATTTAATACCACATTGTGATTGTGTTGAAGACCTTTGAATACAGAATGAAGCATAATGTGGACAAAATACATATTATATATAGTGGTATATTGTAATAAACTGCATCAATGATGTTTTAAAATGTATAATGTGTGGTAATAGATATGGAGCGATGTTTAAGTGCTGGTGAGGTAAAACCTAGATGTATAGAATAAGTATTTATACTGTTTAACCCTTGTGCGTCACTAAAGAAATGCTTTGCTTTTTAATGGTTTACTATAGTGGCTATAAAACATTTTAGGAAGAGTGGCAGATTTGTTTCTTTACATTTTGATTTTGGAGTTGAACTGCAGCTTCTATAATCTAAGATTTAGATGTAACTGTATTGTCATTGCACAATAAGTGTATCAACACTAGAACCGCCAACGGGTCAATTTTACCCGAAGCTGTTTTTTGATTGTATGTAACAGATAGATAGATAGATAGATAGAGAGATAGAGAGATAGGTAGATAGATAGATAGAGAGATAGATAGAGAGATAGATAGATAGAGAGATAGGTAGATAGATAGATAGGTAGATAGATAGATAGAGAGATAGGTAGATAGATAGATAGGTAGATAGGTAGATAGATAGGTAGATAGATAGATAGGTAGGTAGATAGATAGAGAGATAGATAGATAGATAGGTAGATAGATAGATAGGTAGAGAGATAGATAGATAGATAGATAGATAGGTAGAGAGATAGATAGATAGATAGATAGACTAATAAAGGACTGGCTTACCTAAAGCCAGTTGAGTAGCACTTGAAATGTTTGGCTCTATGAAACCTGATGTACTTATATGATTCTGTTTTCTTCAAGGTTGTGTCTTCCTGGTCGAATGTACTTATTGTAAGTCGCTTTGGATAAAAGCGTCAGCTACAGTAAATGCAATGTAATGTAAATAGATAGATAGATAGAGAGATAGACAGACAGACTTCAATCAATCAATCAATCAATCAATCAATAGCGGGTACATTTGACCCGTTGGCGGTTCTAGTGTTAAAAGCTGTGTTCCTAAAATATAGTCCGAGATTTATCAAGGAATCGGCTCTCTTGCGGTCTTTAAAACCTCACACATGTAGAAAATGGAGAAACTAAAACAGAGAAGACTGTCTTAATGATGGCTATTCAACAGGAAAACTGACTTATTGCAGAGATGAATCACAAGGTGGCGCTGTTGTCTGATGGCGAGAGTGAACCCTTAAATGAAACTACTTTAATGTTTTCTACCGCTGTCCCGTTATGTTGCTGCCTCCAGGGTTTATGACGATGGAATCCAGTAAGGGACGGAGAATCTGGCCAAAAGGCCTAAAGAGAAACACAGCAGACAGCACGGTTACACTGAGGGGTGAAAAACGTCCAAACAAATTAAAGTGTGTGAGCTAAGCAACAGGAAGCGGATGAATAAACAAATTGAGCACAACAACAAGATCTGCGTTTCAACTAAGAATTACACACATGGGAAAAAGAGCCAGAAAGAGACACAATTAAAGGTGGGGTCGGTAAGTTTGAGAAACCGGCTCGAGATACACTTTTTGTTATATTCCATGGAATGCTCTTAACATCCGATAGCAATGAATATCTGAAGTGCTTTGACAACAAATCCATAAAAAAAATGTCATCTGTGGAAGCCGTGGCGCTGTAAAAAGCACGACCAATCATATGAGCCGGCCCGGCTAAAGTAACTGGATGGCCTACCTGCCTGTCAGCCTTCCATCTGGGCACAAACTTATCTCGTGCCCTCATTGGTCATGTGCGTGTTCGTGTGTGTTGGAGGAGGGGCTCTGTGAGGAAGTGGCAGATTTGTTCCGGCTGTGTATTTTCAGATTCTAGCGCACTCGAGCTGGTTTCTCCAAAATTACCTACCTCACCTTTAAGCGTCACAATAATTTAAATATGAGTTCAGTACTATTGCAAACGATTGCTCTGCTGTCTTATTTCATATATGTGAAGAAGCATGGTAATTCAATATGTTGTAGCATCTTCAAGGAGGTGTTAGGGCACATGTGTCAAACTCAAGGCCCGGGGGCCAAATCAGGCCCGTGGTAGATTTAATTTCGGCCTGCAGGATAATTTCTAATCACTATTAGATCTGGCCCGCCGGTATATTGCACGCACACCTTCACTCCATCCTGAGGGTCTCCTCCGCTCAGAGCCTGAGCCCAAACATTGATGACCTTGCACCCAAGATGAGATGCCAAGTATCTGAACTAGCATCACAGAGCAGCACACTGAGTTTAATGGATGTTTCCTTCTGCACTTTCTCTCAGGACAACAGGACATGTTTGGTTTTCTCTTTGAGGGAAATAGTTTTGTTGAAGCTGTTGTTGGCCTGTGGAGAAATGTACTCATAAGAAATGACTCTGGAAAAGCTGCAGATAGACCAGTGTTTCTCAAACTTTTTCATACAAAGGACCACCTAACCAATAAAAAAAAATACTCGCGGACCACCTAACTCCACAAATATCCCAAAACACATCGTTTTTTACAAATCGCCTGAAAATGGTACAAACAAGTGGCAGCATGTGTGATGAAGGTGTTTATCTGGGCTATATCATGCAATTGAAAGTGAAACTTAAGCTCGTTCCATTGCGGAGATATTCCCGCGAGAGTGCGAAAAACTTAAATAAATGTATTTCTTTCAAATGTGAAATTTTACCAATATACTCACGGACCACTAGGGGGCGCTCACGGACCACCAGTGGTCCGCGGACCACACTTTGAGAAGCACTGAGATAGAGCCATAAGAAATGAATGCAACTGATTATTTAATGTTTAATGTTGTTTTTATACGCAATCATTTCAGCTCGGCGTACAGGCCTCAGGATAAGCAGAGATACAGATAACTAACACAGTGAGGATAAAGTGTCATGGTATTACATTTAGAGTAGCATTTAGAGCAGCTTTATGACTCACGTGGACAGGACTTCAGATGGAAGGTCTGTGATGTACGACGGGATCTTTTTTCCTGTGAGGAACTGAGCCACCTCGTCGCTGAAAGTGTTGCAGTTGTGCTCGAACAGGTTGTATGTGTCCTGTCTGTAAACCGAGAGAAAGAGAGGAGAAAATCTATTAGTGAAGAGACTGAGAGGCCTGAGAGGGTGAAGAAGGGCGAGAGGGAAGCAGGAAAGATAAGATAACATTTTGCTGTCGGCTGTGCGTGGTGAACAGCTGGTTCGAGGGGCCCCCAGTGAAGGTTTGCCTAGGGCCCCCACAGACTCTAGAATCGGCACTGCCTATATCTAAACTTGACACATTGGCCAGGGAGTACAAACTGATTATACTTGTCAAATACTTGAGTGAAAAAGTGACGCCCCCCATACCCACCCTGACCTCCAGGTGACCCCACAGGGATGTACATCTGTGTGATGAAGCTGAGTATTTACCCATATGTAGAGACTGCCAGTGACATCAGATACTCCATAAATAACTCTGCAGACACCTCAGTGGAGCCCAGGTCAACGACGGAGCCAGGCTGACCCAAAGGGGTGCTCCCCTAGGATGAAAACACACAAACACATTACAGTACGCCTTGTTCCAAAAAAAAAAAGGTTTAAGTCATATAATTGTTTATTGTTGTAACCCTCAGTTCTGCCACAAGAGGGCAACATGCACCACTAGCTCGTGTTCTAAATAAGACCACAACCTATTGAAATACATTCCCTGAGAAAGAAAATGACTATAATATTACATTATTTGCTCACACACAGTATATGTACCTTGTGTTTAGAGTGCACTAAGAACACAGATGAACAAATGCTCTTTATTCATCTGGCTTAACTTAACTTCCACCCGTTTCACAGATGAGTATCTTGCTATAATGGACATGTCAAAACCTTTTTTCCACATGCCCTTAACACTAAGACAGGTAATCAAACATTTGTACTTATTTGCCCTGTAGTATTTTTATAATGTTGTATTTTGGATAAGGCTTAAGCTGATTCTTACAGGTGGGCAATTGTTGATGCCTTGTCCCACAAAGAAGAACTCCTTTCCATGGATCACAATAGCAGTATGCCTGTAAAACACAAAACATTTGACACAAGGCAATGAATTCTAGGTTCACATGATATTTAGTGATATTATTTCAACAGCTGCACTCACCATATCCCATCAAGCTGTCTCCCTGTGGTAATAAAACAGAACAACATTAGAATAAAGTTATTCCACACTTTTAATTTGGCAGAAAATAAAGTCACGGCACAGGCCTGATTAGCATCCCCGCTGTTTCCTGGTTTCCCTCCCGGGTCAGGGTGCACTCTCTGCGGCTTTAATAAAGCCAAGCAACCGGTGGTTCTTCAGAAACTCACCCAGCATGAGAGGACTGAGCTGCCGGGCCATTCCTCTGGACATGTCGTAAATGTACAATTTCACTGGGTAAGACTCGGTTTGGTCCATGGTGACACAAAGGTATTATATATTTTTTTTAAAAGAGAGACCTGAGTGTTTCTAGCTTACCGGTAGCTAGCAAACAAAACGTAAAACAAAAAATATCTTGGAATTGTTACGGATACAAACATAGGCTTTTTCACATTAAAAGTAATAAATAAAGTAGCAAAAAAACTCCTACTTATGCCGGTTGCTGAAAGTTGGTCAAAATGTAAACAATAACAAAAAAATGCATTCTCATGGAGCAGGGGATCTTTATAGGGTGTCAAGCCCTATCCATGGTCAAGCCCCCTCTACTAGACAAACCCCGCCTACTTTACTATGATTGGCCAGTATCTTAGATTGACAAGACAAACGTCCAATAGACGATGAAACGTCTGTTACGTTTCCTAGCGTGCTCGTTCACGTACCCGGAACGTAGCAACTACAATTTAATAAAACAAAAAATATATCGTGGGATTGTTACGGACACAAACATAGGCTTTTTCATATGAAAAGTAATACATAAAGTTACCAAAAAAACTCGATAGACGATGATACGTCCGTTACGTTTTCCAGCGTGCTCGTTCACGTAGTACCCGGAACGCGCCAGGCATTGAAACACGCCTGGACTTTGTGGACAGACAGAAACAGCACACGGTATGCAGCTATTATAACTTTATATATGTTGTTTTTTCAATGTGTTCAATCCATATGTTTTGTTTGCATCACTACAAATATGCAGTTGTTATCAAAGCGAATTTAAAATACTAATGAAGTGATCAGTAGCTTATTAGTGGCTAAGCTAGCTAACTTGTGTGTGAAGTAAAGTTAAAACCTCATATAATGTTTATTAAATATGAATACTATCTTAATAAAACATACATAACATGCATGTGTCTTTAATGTACTATTTGCAAAGCAAGGATTTGACTTACTGTGCTTTCTTACAAAATACAGGAATAATTTAAGTGCATAGCAAGACTACTTTTCTAAAAATGACTTTGTTTTGATTGTATTCAAGCTGCTTTGAGTTTCCTCTTCTTGTGTGTTATTGAACTTCTGGATCATTTGACAGGACCGGAAGTAGCTCAAATGGCAGAGTGGAATGCCTTCTACCATAATGAGGAGGATGAGGAAGAGCAGGAGGAAGGAGAGCAATCTGGAGGTGAGATAAAAACCGCCAATTACTCCATTTGAAGTGCAAATAATACAACATCAGAATCACAATTTAGTTTTCACAGACAAGGAATTAGTTTCTGTGTATTAGTGCATACATAAAATACAGTTTTAAGTGGGAAAATAGCAAATATTAAGAAAATGTGTGGAAAAAACATACATATACATCAGTTTTAAAGGTGGAAGGGCTGTTCAGTTTTTTCAGCATAAATGTGCAAAATTGTTAGAGAAGTGTGCAAAGCTTAACAGTTTGGAGTATCAGGATGTTGCCTTTCCTTATATGCATGCCATGAGATGGATGTACTGTTATGAACTATAGTTGTCGACAAACAATGCTTTCTCTCTTTGTCAGGTGAATACTACAAAAACACCGGCAGAGACAGTTTGGTGTTTTTGGTCGACGCCTCCAAGGAAATGTTCATCAAAGGAGAAGACGGACAACCCTCCAACTTTGACATGACCATGGAGGTAAGATGGAGGATATCATTTCTGCTTTATGGAATCATTTAGTCAAATATCATGAGGCAGTTGAGACGGTTGAGGGAATGCTCTTTAGCTTACCTATCGCATATAATAGAATAGAATGGTCACACATGCAGAGCACACAGTGACATGTGTTCTCTGCATTTAACCCATCCTAGTACCAGGAGTCTAGAACTAGGAACATAAATAACATGCATTGTACATCGCCCGGGGAGCAATGGGAGTGGGGGGGGAAGGGGGACGTCCGGTGCCTTGCTCAAGGACAACAAGGCAGGGCAGGAGGTGAACTGGGACCTCTCAAAGTAGCAGTCCACACTCCATATTTTAGGTCTGGTCAGGGACTTGAACCGGCGACCCTACAGCTCCCAGTCCAAGCCCCTATGGACTGAGCCCCTGTCGGACTAATAGTAATACTTTCTAATATAATAACATACAACCTACATGTTTATTCCACACTTTTAAAACAGTGTTTACCCGGATGAAACTCAAAGGCAGCAACAATAAAAGTGATATAGGAGGAAAACAGATACGACTGAACACAGCAATAAAGAAAGAAGGAACAAATCAAACCTTTATAAAACTTAAAAGTGCATAGGGAATGATTCATATAAAAGCCATAAAATGGTTTCTAAAAGTGTGTTGTGTGTGTGTGTGTGTGTAGGTGGTGCGCAGTGTGTACACCAGTAAGATCATCAGCAGCCACAGGGACCTGATGGCGTTGGTTTTCTACGGCACGGAGCAGAGCAAAAATCCCAGGAACTCATTTAAACACGTCTACGTTTACCACGACCTGGACGAGCCCGGTGAGACACGCTGACACACCGTCACACTCTATCTACAGTACACTGCTCTGGTTCTGCTGCAGAAACAAGGGCATGCATATCTTAATCATCATTATCGGAATATTTTATTTCTCCCGGGGGAAATTCGGTTTTGTGACAGTTGGAAATGGGGAATTAAATGAGTAAATGAAAAAAAGAAATCGGAATAAAAGTGTTTATAAATACCTAGTTAAAGTGAAAATGTGCAATAGAAATATAGAATAAAATAAAAATATTTATAAAAAAAACAAGAGGTTAAAGTAAAATGTCCAATAAAATATGACTTTAAAGTTAGGAATTTAAAAAGAAATGTGCACAATATATATATATATATATATATAGTGGTGTATTGATATTATGAGTTGCACAGTTTCAAAGGGTTTGGCTTCTGAAAGTGTAGTAAAGTATAGAAGACTTTGATTGTTATTGCATATTATTCAACAAAAACATTTGAGAACTTAAGAACACTTTCAGAAAGTCCTGTTATTAAAAATCATAATTATATTGATCAGAGGTTGGAAGTAACTAAGTACATTTACTATACTATTTAACTATATTTTGATGCTAATACTTTTCTCCTTTTACTTGAGTAACATTTTGAATGCAGCACTTTTACTGTAACAGAGTATTCCTACACTCTGGTACTTCTACTTTTACTCAAGTACAAGATCTGAGTACTTCTACTTTTACTCAAGTACAAGATCTGAGTACTTCTACTTTTACTCAAGCACAAGATCTGAGTACTTCTACTTTTACTCAAGCACAAGATCTGAGTTCTTCTACTTTTACTCAAGTACAAGATCTGAATACTTCTACTTTTACTCAAGTACAAGATCTGAATACTTCTGTTTTACTCAAGCACAAGATCTGAGTACTTCTGTTTTACTCAAGCACAAGATCTGAGTACTTCTACTTTTACTCAAGCACAAGATCTGAGTACTTCTATCACCTCTGTTAGTGATTACTTTTAGTACCCGTGTCACTATATGCAAAATGCAAGAAAGTCTTCTTTCTGTGGCCCCTTTTAAACTGCTACACATGCCTTTCTCTCACCCTATCCCTTCTGTTGTTCCTCACCTGTCTGCTTACACACCTCCTCTCTTATCTCAGGTGCAAAGCGAGTGCGGGAGGTGGACGCTCTGCGGGGGGAGAAAGGAGCCCAGCTGGTGGGGGAGACGATGGGCATCGGGGGGGAGACGTCTCTAGCTGACGCTCTGTGGTGCTGCGCTAACCTCTACAGCGACATCAAGCTGAGACTCTCCCACAAGAGGCTCATGATCTTCAGCTGCAGGGACGAGCCTCATGGGGGCGACAGCGCGAAGGACCGGCTGGCGCGCACTAAAGCTGGAGACCTCAAAGAGACCGGTACGTTTAGTTTAGTTGTTTCTAGTGTCCCCGTTAATCAACTGTCACACAAACACAGTAAATGGGGCAGCTTTAGCCAACATTGCTCATTTCCAAGCTGTTGTCCCCGGCCAGATGATAATAGACACCTTTTTAAAATCACAATACATCAACAGCATTAGTTATAAAGAAAGGATGAAACACAAGTAGATATATGCGAAAGGGTAAAAGAGAACGATTACATGCAAACAACACATGTGACTACATACATGTCGTATAATAGCAGGAGATTCATAAGGAGTTTTAATGGGGACATTTTTGTCCTTAAGTGTCTGAGTGATTACTATAGAAAACACCCCTTACCAACAAGTATTCAATATACATTAACACATCCAAAATGTTCCTTAGTGATGCATCAGCTGTAATACATCAGCTCTGTATGGGGATGGGTACCGAGCCCCGGTATTAAACGGGCCCCGGGGCTGAATTATTAAAGACCGTGGTACCGTTAAGCTCCGACGTTATGTGTTTTTATCGGTACAGGAGACATGTAAAAAATATGTCGTGTGTATTATTGCTACACAAACATTATATTGCAGTTATAGTGTCGCCAACTCCGTTTCTAATACGCAAAAAGACTGCAAAATGCTTCTATGATATTTTTTTGTATTTTCGATCTCTCTCCCGCCTGCTCGCGAGGGGGCGGGGCAGTTTACACACACGCAGCTGCTACATGCAGCAACACACACACACACTGCGGAGATGGCGGAGAGAACGCGCTCCGAGGTGTGGTTAAACTTTACCCGTCTCGATGCTCGTTGCCTAAAGTGCAATAAGAGTTTATCATGTGAGGGCGGTAACACGAGCAATGTGTCTAAACATTTATCAAAAGCGCTCCACATCCAGACGGAGGAATGCACCGGGTTCCACTGTCTTTCTAGTAGCTCTGTAGCCCCATCCACGAGTAACGTTTCCACGTCAGGTGTTATGTATGCTAGCAGCAACACACGGAGTTAACTACATGATACAAACATGGGTTAATGATTAGAGGTAACTGAGTTATTTATTTTGTTAAAGTTTCAGCTATTCTGTTTACAGTCTGTCATCAGATTATTTAATACGATTTGTTAAAACATTGTTGTTTCTTTTGATGTGAATTATTATGCATTTAATTTAAATAAAAAGCAATGTTAGTTTTGTTCACAATTTGTTTAGTTAGTTTACCTTTTCTTTTCTCCAAAAGAACCGATAGAGTACCGTTAAAAGACCGGACCGATAAGCAGTATCGATAAAAGTAGTAGTACCGTTAAAACCTTAACGATACCCATCCCTAGCTCTGTATGTCATTTACTCCTCTGACTTCTTCATCTCTTCTCTCTCAGGCGTGGTCATTGATTTAATGCATCTGATGAAACCGGGAGGCTTCGATGTCGCTCCGTTCTTCCGAGACATCGTGAGTCCTCCTGATGATGAAGGAGATCTGGGTCTGC